TTGCCATCGGATGACCCAGGCTTAGTTTTGTAGGTCTTACTGCTTTGACCATGCTCCACAACATTAGCTTTAGCAACACCAGGATTGAACAACTTCTTCTAGGAACTCTTGTTGTCTTCTTCAATTCGAAATCTAACAATTAGTTCTTCGACGTTCATTTCCTTTCGTTTGTGCTTCAGATAATTTTTGAAGTTTTTTTCACGCGGGGGACAGCAAATTCAATAATTGCAGCCACTTGGAAAGTTTCACTCAACATCATTCCTTCGGCATGAATTTCGTGAAGAATCACTTGGAGTTCTTTCACTTGACTGATAACTGTTTTGGAGTCCACCATCTTATAAACTAAGAATTTGCTGACAATGAACTTTTTAGCCCGGAATCCTCAATTTCATATTTCCGGTCCAATGACTCCCACAGCTCTGTAGCAGTTTTCATAGTACTATACACATTGTATAGCAAATCTGCTAAATTGTTCATGATGTAGTCTCGGCACAAAAAACCAAATGTTTCCATGCATCAAGCGCACTAACAGCTTGAACATCTCTCTCACCCTCTTGGAGTTTTGGAGCACTTTCAGTCAAAAATTTTGCAAGATTCAAGGTAGTCAGATAAAACAACATTTTCTGCTGCCACCTCTTAAAATTCAAGCCACTGAATTTCTCCGATTTTTCACCATGATTAACCGGAACAGTAATGATATGGCCAGTTGTTTGTCTCACAACATGACTTCGCAATCTAGCCACAGTCTGAACCACAACAGAACTTGACCATTGAGCCATAGCAGAGCCCACAGCTCGATTTTCATTAGTCACAGCTTGGGTTACATCCATGTTGGTTGAATCGGTTGCCATTTCTGAAAATGAAACAAATATTAGTTTTCAATAAACCAAATGAAACAACTTATCAAAAAGAATCTGTGTTTTAAGTTTGTTAGATAATTGTTTCAAAAGTTTCACGAAACAGAATATCGAATTGAGTACCGGATACGCAGAATAGATAACGTATTTGTAGTAAGCTTAAACACCATATTTCCTCATATTAAATTTGACTGTAACAGATTTAATTATACATAACAGATTCATAAATGATTTATAAATTGCAGTAAATAATTAAACGAGAATTGCAAAATACTAATATGCAAAACGAATAACAAGAAGGAACAAAAAAGACTTTTAACCCGAGGCCTGTATTACACACAGTTTCCTTAAAACAGATTCGCCCCCTCACCGTACGTGTTTAAAGTGTAATTTGAGTGTCTGCTTCACGGGATACAATTGCGGAATAGTAAAATCTGAGCACCACAGATTTTACTTAAGTGAACTGAGTTAGAGCCTGAATAATATCACCACCAGATTCAAACAGAAACAAAACTTGAACTGTATGTAGATGAATATTCAGATGAATTTTTGTACTGAAAATTGGGAAAAATCGATGTATATATAGACTTTGGATCTTGTAACTTGCCCACTTACTTCATGGCAATTACAACAGGAGTTTTAGGAGTTTCAACTATTTTAGAAAATAAAATGTCAGTTGAAAAATAAAGTAAAATGTAGGCTCTTCTAAGGGGCCAATTTTTGGTCAATCTGATTCGACATTCATGTACGCAGGTCGCGCCCGCACACAAGTTCAAGGTTCGATGCCTATTTCAGTCTGTGATTTGCATCCCCCTGCGCGCGCGCGAGGAGAGAGCATCTGTGCTACACATGATTACACAATTCTAAAGTGCAATCCTTTATAAAGTGGTTTTAGTTTTCATCCACTTCATATGTGGGACAAACTTATTTTTAGTTTTCCTACCAACATAAACTCCTTTCACATGGCATACATTGAACTTCAATTTTTCATTCACCCGAACATCATTTTTAACAAGTATATGATTTCGATATACTCACGGAGGAGATCACATTCAACTTTCATCTTCCAAAATAGCCAAACGGGTTTCGCTCAAAATTCGTGCCAAAGTCACCCAAAACTCAATTTTTTCCAACACTTTCTTGATCAAAATAACAACACACATTTGAATCTCAGAAACCCAAGTTATTTGGAGAAAGTTTTAGAGAATAAGAAGAAGAAATTATTCAGAACTAACTAGGAGTGAAGAAAACATAATGAAGCGGTACAATTTATAGATTTTTATGTGTCTATTCTAAAATGCTGAGTCTTTTGCCTCAAATTAATTTGGGACATTAGATCGAACATTTCAAATTTGGACATGTCTTGACGGTTCACATCACACCCTTTTGAGATGGTCCATGACCTTTCGATGTGACTTCTCTCTATTTGATCAGTGGTGTTCAGTTAGATCTAGTTCACTTTTCTACTCTTTCAATAGTTAATCTTCATTCTCATTTGTTAAAGATACAATAAAAGCTTCATTTAAAGGTTTTCATTGAGCTCATATGGAAATTTATCTAATTCATCCAAATGCCCTTTTTTCAATTTAATGTCATTGCAATTTCCCAATAACTACTTGTATTATAGTAGGACGGTGGGAAATGCAAAATAAATAAATAAAATAAAATAGCCATCAATGAGAAAAATGTCTGTAATGGGAATATCATCTATTAAGGGACAGAAACAATTACAGTGATATGGCGATTTGAAAGATTAATTTGGAACAAAACCTTGCCGATACAGTTATCAAGAGCTTACCAACTACTTGTTTTTAGGTTCATATCATAGGTATGATAATTCGGGATGTGTCATAAACACTTGAGGGTAAGTGGAGATTGTTGGATATGTGTCCAAAGTGTTGGACTTTAACTGTGTTTTTTTATACATTGATTTGTCTATTGATAAATATTGTTTATTTATTTCGATTTAATTGTTTAGTGCTTAATTGAGCAAGTGATTAAGGACCATTGACCGCATTAAGACAATGAGTCATGTATTTTGTATAGAGAAGTGTATAAGAAATTACTCGTATTTCGATTAAAAGGGATTTGTCTTAGACTGACCAATAAAATTCCGCACTCTATTTGATATAAACTCAAAATTACGAGAATACAAAAATTTAGGGCATGTTTTCTTTGTTGTTTTCAGGTCATTTTCAGTTTTCAATTTTTGAAAGCACTGAAACACGTTTACTTACCTAAAACAAATTTTCAAATATGAATTTAAAATTTACAAAGAAAACGAAAAATGTCAAAAAAGTCGTTTTGGATGTTTTCAGTTAAAACTAAGCCAAAACTTTATTTTTTTTATTTTTGAAAATAATTTTTCAAAATAACAAAAAGAACGCGTTTTCAACAATCTCAAAATGGACACTTAAAACACAAAACCCAAAATGAATTCAAAACTCAAAATTAAAAACTGAAGTGTCTCAAAAAGTATTTCCCCCGTCTGATCTCAGGATCAAATCTCCAGCATTGAAATGCTGAGTGCAGTTTATTGCTCTCAAAATGACTATTGAATAGGATCTTTGTTCGACTTGGTCAATAAATTCGTATAATAAAGTGAGTAAATATTGATGATGACCTTTGTTAAATAGAGAACAAGTAACTTTGATCGGGAAAAGTTTATGGCTCAGGTGTTTACTATTCCAAAATTAAAAATCAGGCACAACAGTTTAAAATTACAAAAATCAGGTTTTTCTTAAATTAATTAATTACATTTCAGAATTATTATATTAAATTAAATATTTAACTGTAATATAATAAAATTAACCCACCCCACCCCACCTACACCACCCCCATTGCTCTGGCTACTACTCCGGCGACCGGCGACTGCTCTGATCTAACGACTTTTTCGAGGTCACAGATCAAAAAATTTGTAGGTCACGGGTTATTTTGAGATCATAGATAAAAAAATTTATAGATCGCAGATTATTTCGAGATCACAGATTTAAAATTTTATAGGTCACAGATAAAAAAAATTAAGGTCACATATTTAAAATTTTATAGGTCACAGATAAAAAAAATTAAGGTCACAGATTCTTTTTTTAAGTTACAAATTATCAATTTCAAAGTCACAGGTCAATAGTAAGGTCACGGACACCTATTAGAACCACAATAGCTAGGTCATAATCACCTAAACACNTCACCAACACCGCCTCCGCACCAACAATCACCAGCGACGAACATTTTCAGATCCACCCCGAAGATTGCTGCGTGGGTATTGAGCTACTCAACGCCTCCCCCGGTGTAAATCGCAGCAGCAACGCTGCTGTGGGTGTGCAGCGTCGCGTTGCTGCTGCGACACCCACAGCAGCGTCGCTGTTGCCGCGACGCTGCAAACCCACAGCAGCGTCGCTGCAGTGGGTGAACGGTGGTGAGGGAGAAGGGAGGGAAGGGGAGAGCCTCCCCCTGTGTGAATCACAGCAGCGACGCTGCTGTGGGTCGCTGCTGTGGGTGTGCAGCGTCGCGTTGCTGCTGTAACACCCACAGCAGCGTCGCTGCAGTGGGTGAACGGTGGTGAGGGAGAGGGGGGAGACAAATGGAGTGAGGGAGGAGGCGACGGTGAGAGAGAGAGAGAGAGAGAGAGAGAGAGAAACGAGAGGGTAGGGTTGTGTGGGATAAAATGATAAATTAGGTTTTAAAGAGTTAATTATTTAATTAAAAAGATAAAAAACCTGATAAATTAAAAAAAAAGTTAAAAACCTGATTTTTAAAAAGGAGATACTTAATGCCTGGTTTTCCCTAATTTTCCCAACTTTGATCTCAGGAGGCTGTTTGTAAGATCTATGCTCTCTCTTCCAGCTGGTTGATTCAGGCTCAAACACAATCTGGGCTTAATGACTTGGGTCGAGCCATTCATGGGCCCACAAGCGTGGTTTCATGGGTAAAGAAGGAAATGGGAAATTATGAAAGTAGCACCAAAATGAAACAGTTGATGAGATCTTTGAACTTGCCCGCAATAAAGTAATAAACAGAGAACTGGACGGATTGTTCCTTGCAAATTTTCACAATAGTCTTGCTAGAAATCGAAGAACCCTAACAGTTTTTTCTTTAGAAATTGAGGAACTCAAATAGAAGAAGGAAGAGGCGAAAATTCAAACCATGTCCTTTTCAAAATTGTCGCAGTTAATTATATTTTTCTTTGTTTCGATATCTGCACTTTCCAATTACTCTGCAGCTCACAATTCGTAAGTGAATCTCTACTACTCAATTACTTCAAATTAATTTCTTGATATGATAACAATATGAATTTTTTCTGTAGAATTTCTATTATAGGAACTAATTATTCGAAAATTACAGAGGAATTCGAGTAATAAAGCGGAGAACGCTGATGGGTTTTAAAGAGACGCCAAATGGTGGAAATCTCACATTCGATTGTTCACCTTCTGGCCCTTGCATTCCCTGCTCTCGTTCTGAAAAGGTGCCATTAAATTCCCGTTTTAATTATTTCTAGTTTATTGTTTTATGGATGTTTGATTGATACTATTCGAGTAATTTTAAGATCATGTATTTGTGATCAAATGGAACGCCTTGCAGATTTTTGAAAAAAAAAATAATCGTGACATAGTATGGTTTCATCGGATTAATATTATTTAACTTTGGTCTGGGTGATTTCACTTTTGCAATAATGTTTTCAAATTCAACTAAAAAACTCTGCCTTCTTTAATTGCTCCCCTTCTGGCCCTTGTATTCCCTGTTCTCATTTGAAATGGTGTCCTGTTCCGTTTCTGTAAATGCTTGCATTCCCATTTTAATGATTCCTACTTTATTGTTTTATAGATGTTAGGTTGGTACCATTTGAATGATTTCACTTGTGAACCTATCAATTTAAGTTAATGGGGTAGTTAAAAAATTGTGTATTTGTGATTAAATTGGATTCCTTGCACACTTTTGTTTCAATTAGAAATTTTTCTTGAACAAAATTGTGAATTGGTAAGGTTGAGTACAGGATTCATTTGAGTATTATTTAACTTTGATCTGATTTCAATTTTTCTATAATAATATGCAATTACGCAGATTAAGATTCTATAATTCTGAAAAAAATAATTCCGTGTTATCTGATCTTGTGCTCTCCTTATCTTGTTTTAACATCTATTGCGTGTTATCTGATCTTGTGTATTGTTCCTAAGGAACCTAAATTGTTGCTCAACCTTTACAATGAAATGATAAATCCCTTGTTTCATGGTCATAGAATATTATACCACGTACATAACTCATAAGATGAACTGAAAACTTTGACTCTACCATTTCTGTAAAGAAAAAAACAAGTTGGTGAATATATGAATTTTGAATTGTATTTGTACTATTTGATTATATCTCCCTTTAGTTTCCACTAAATTTATCTATTTAAGAATAGTATGGGTTGTGGGCATACAATTCGTCTTTGATAATTGATATGCCGAAAAGAAGCTTGAAGAAAGAAAGAAAGGAAGAAAGTATAGTTCTTTATGTTATCAGCCATATCCTTTGTTCCCTTCTTGAATCTTTATTTGTGCTTATTGAAAGAAATATTGTTTTCTTTGTAGAATGATGAAAAATATCGCTGCAGCGAAACTGGATATCGCATTCGCTTGAAATGTCAACCAACTGGGACTAGTTCTAAAAAGGAAAAAAGCCAAAAATTAGAAAACGGGCGATCTGATCTTGAGACCGAACAGATTACTATTTCAACAAGACAAAGAAGTCTACTAGATGATTCATCCAAATCAAAAGGTGGTTCTAACTTTTATATCACTTACAGAAGCTGTATACCTGCAGTAAATGAAGAAAAGTTGTCAGTACTTGATTTTGAGGTAAGTTCTGATATTTGATAGCTCTAGTGTACATCAATTTTTGGTGGTCCCATTACATAATGGTTTAAACTGTACAGCTTGTTTCTAGAAAATTCCAGTTCAAAACGAAAATAACACAGAATTTGAAAATTGTCCGACTAAATATTTAGTTGTGTTCTCATCAGTCTAATCCATTTTAACTTACTACTAATGTGAGATTTGGTTGAGTTCTGATATTGTTGTCTCGGTAGATCGTTCCTCTCAGCTTACCTAAATGTTCAGAAATTGCCAATCATTGGCTAATAAAAGTAGGTAACTTGGCACTTGCCTTCTTGTGAGTGCAGCTCCTTAGTGCTTAAATGATTAATATTGGACTATTCTCCTCTTTTTACTGTTAGACTATATGGCCTAATCATATAGTATAATTATTTCCTCTAGTGGACTGACCTATATTGAGTCTGCTCCCTCTTGATAATAGGCGAATTGATGGAGGCTACTCTTCCTCTTGATATTAGTTAGGGGGTCGATTTTGTGTGAGAAAAACCCTCTACTCTTCTTCTCCATTAAAATGAAAATATACTAGAACAAGTAGATGTAGTTCTCATGAACCACTATAAGTTTGTGTATTTGCTGTACTTGTTTTCAATTTTCATTTGTTTATTAATGCACTTGTAGATAGAGATTAGTGCTTAATCTTTAACAGATATGTGCCATTCTTTTCCTTTAAACTATTACCAATTAAGTATGGAACTGTATAAGTGCTGAATTAAGTCCATCATTTCTATTCTAGCAACTATATACCGCTAAATTTTACGTATCATTTTTTTTTTTTATAACCGTGGATGTCCGGCCAGCTTGCGCGCACCTCGACTAATTCCACGGGGCCCTGAAGTTTACGGTCGGATACTCACCTCAGTAGCCTGAGGAGACTCGATCGTATCATTTTTTAGTATGGATATTAAAGAGTTAATAGCTATTAGGATTGTTTCATCTGATGTTTACTGCTTAATTCGATAGGCTGGCAGTCAGATTCTTTCTATTGGTTTTGACTTTCTGAATTGGAAAGTTTATGCTCTGCATAAAAGATTAAATCAGTTAAAGGCTTTTCTTCTTTTTCAGAAAGACAAAGATACCCTATTTTCTTTTATTTCTGATTGGTTGTTTTTCAAAGTTTGCAATCAGTAAACCATTTGTTCTATCGTTTTGGTACATGTATCATAAAAAGCCTAGTCATTTTAAAAGATTGACTCTTATTAAAATCCCCCATTTCATGTTGTTCCAGTCAAAATTTCGTAAATTTTCATTTATATTTTCATGAGTGCGCGTTACAATCAAAGCTCCTCTACATCATGTTCACGTACTAAATTTTGCATATTTTCAGTCCTATGTTTTGAGAGTAAAATTGAAGGGGAGAAAACTAGTGTTTTACAATAGGGGCTTTTAATTTTCATTGCCAAAAGTAAACTCTTTAAGAAAGATAAATCATAAGAACCAATATTATCCTCTTATAAACTTAACGTTATTTTATAAAAAAGTTTGTTTTGATCTTTTGATGATATTCATTGCAGTCTATGAGGAAAATCTTATTGGAAGAATATTTAAAGTTAAAATTTAGTCGTATTATTGAAAAATTTAGGTAAAAGATGGTTTAGTTAATGAAATTAAATACTGCACATAAAAATCTTAACCAAAGAAGTTAATCTTTGTATGGTAAAAGTTGGATCGTTTAAGCTTAGTTTTCATTGTCTTTAATTCGTAATTTCTTACATACATTTATCTATAATATATTAAATATCGCATCAAGCGAGAATCATTTTCTAGATGATTTTAGCCATACTACAATTTAATTATTTCAATAATACTTTACTTTTCGTTTTTCAATATATATTTAATTGAATATTAATTATTAAACATGCACACAAATAAATAATTGAATTGTATGAGAAAAATCAAATCGATTCATGAAAATGAAATTTAATTAATTGAATATAGAAAAAGAATAACGTATATACATTTAAACAAATGGGGGTGTAAATGAACTAACATGAAATTTAATTAATTTGAATTAATAGATATAGAAAAATAATAATTGATATACATTTAAACAAAGAAGGTGTACATGAACCAACATGGAATTTAATTAATTTGAATCAATAAGTATAGAAAAAGAATAATTTATATACATTTAGACAAATGGCGTTATATCATAGATAAAATGAATAATATAAATTAAATAAATGTACATGAACTTGAATAATTTATTTACTCCTATAATAATTGAATAGTTTCCAAATTATATGATCTTTAATAATTTATATACTCATAGAATAATTTATGATAAAATGAATAATCTTGAAAATAAATACCTGTTCATAAACTTGAATAATTTATTTACTCCTAGAATAATTGAATAGCTCCCAAAACATGTGTACATGAACTTGATGACTTAATGTTATATTTAATATATCCATAAATAAATGTTAATTAATATACACGCACATACATAAATAATTGAATTGTAGTATTTATAGAGTAATCGAATAGCTCCCAAAATATATAAAGTGTATTTGCATGAACTTGAAAAATTAATTGATTGAATTATAATAGGATATCTATAAATTAATGTTAAGTATTGTCATACACGTAAATAAATAATTGAATTGTATAAAAAGTTCATTTCACATAAACAGTTTTTTTTAACTATTTTTTATATTCATCGATTTTCAAATATCATTTGTACAGCGTTTATAAAATATTTCAAAATAGCGTGCAACGCACGTTTAACTGTGACTAGTAACTCAAAATATCAAACAATCTACTGGAAAAATACTTATTAGAGTGTATCTAAGTGCAGTGTCTTAATGCTAATATTATACTTTCAATCTTGCGATATCCCTACAAAGTGAAGGCAATTTTGTCTTAATAGTCCTAGTTTGATTGCATTTAACTTACTACTTTAATATGTATAAACCATTTGTATTTTGCATGAATGAAAAGTATGATCAAATGAAATGATATAGAACCTTTAAAGAGTTAAGGAAATATTATAGACAAAGAGAGATTAATTTGGAATATATATAACTTTTTAAGAGTATAAAATAAATTATGATCATTAAAAGTTTGTTTTTAATCTTTAGATTTGACAAATTAGTCACTCCATACATAGCTAAACTTTTAAGTATTTTAAAGTAGTAATTTGTTTATACTGTTTTCAATGTATGATGTGGTAAAGTTTAGTTACCTTTATAGCAAAGAGAGAAAAAAAATTGTTCTTATTGTTTTCAATATATGCTTTTTTTGGTGTGTTAATTTAATGAATTTACATAATCGCATGAATTATTATAATTTTCAATTAGTTTGCAATTTACACTTCCTTTTTAACTTTAGACACTATAATAATTGTTCGAAATTCAAATTAAAAGCATGTTTGGCAAAGCTTAAGTTATAATTTAAACTAGTCCAACACACTTTTTTATCAACACATGTTATGCCCACACCTTATTACCTACTTTTTATTCACATATTTTATGGGACTCGTTGCTTAAATTTTAATTTGAACTCTCCCAAACAAGCAATAACATCCATGTATGAGTATTATGAATTAACTTATAAAAAACGGTTGTGCTATATGTATATAGTGATTTACATACACATGATATGGTGAGATATGACTGTATCTAAGTTTTTTCAACCAAAAATCAAAAATAAAAAATTCTCACTCTCTTTTTGACACATCATCTGTATGTAAACCATTATATTACTTTATTTTGTACAAGTAGTATTATTCTACAAAAAATACATATGCATCTATTGAGCCCTATTTTTTGAGAATTGATTTTGTAAAAAGTGATTTTTTT